AAAATATTTAGGAATTGATATTTTCAAAACCACATACGGCTTAATACTGATTTTAGATTTCAATGAATTATCAAAATTATTTCATAGACTTTGAAAAAAACAAAAATGGATATTTCTGTAACTAAATACACGCAAGACTTAATATTTAGATTATAAATAATTATTTAGGTAAGGTAATTCTCCGACCTAAGAAAACGGATTTTTTTCCTTCCATCAGAAGATGTACGTGTATGTGGACCGTATTAATTAATTAAATTGCATTTAATGATATGCAGAAAGGGGGATACGATTGAAAAAATTGGCAGCATGGAATGACAAATTACAAATTATATCCATATGTTTCCATTGATTCAATGTTTGTGAATCTCTAAAAGTGAACTTGCCAATTATTTAACTTTTTTTAATTTGCAGAAATCTAAAGATTAATTAAAAGTAAGCTCCAGATATAAACACAGATAGACAAAACCCCGAAAATCATGTCGTGTGCATGTATATTCCTCGACTAAATATTTATGTAAGCATTGAAAAATGTTTATTTATTTGTAAAAATATTTATTTTTGATGTAGTGATCTTAAAAATATCTTGACCATAATTAGCAGTAAACAAGAATGAAAATCAGAGAAAAAAACGTTAAAGATCTAAGTACGGTTTATCACAATATTGATCGCGCTATTTGACGAGAACATAATATTGTACATGTACGACTTACTATATTGCCTGTTTAGGAGCGATAATTAATTCGTTCTGCATTCAATTATGTAAATTGCACTTCATTTTACTTGGATTTAAATCAATAATAAAAAAAAAGGGTACCGGTAAAATGCGAAACGAAATAGAAACGAAACGAACTGAAATGAAACGAAATCTGCCGAAACGAAACGAAATCTACCGAAACGAAACGAAACGAATCGAAACCTGCCGAAACGAAACAAAACAAAACTTTCAGAATGTTTATATGGTCTATTTTTACTTCATATGAAATTTATATAGTTCAAGCACCACAGGCAATTGTTTCGCTTCAAGTTCCTACACTGGCGTCGGAAGGAAATTGAAAGTTGGGGAGGGGCTTAACCAAAAAAAGGTAAACCCCAGTTTTCAATTCCTATGTAATATATATCTTTGCAAGAAAGTGGGGATGGAGGCTAACCCCCCCCCCCTCCCCGCCGCTTCCGACACCTATGTCATCTTTTGTTAATATCTTACTGAATAATTTACCTACTTAAAAATGACATCGTTCGCTTCGAGAGACTTTTTACTTGTCAGTTAAATCGTTTAAGACGTCTATGGTCAAGCCTCTTTATTGCAAACCACTCCTTTCTTCCTCCAAAATTACCTCGATAAAAATAGGACCGTATGTACGTAGAAAGGATACACAAGATTTCGGTTGGAGTTACATGTATAATTGAACCAAAAAAAACCAGACTCCTTGGAATGGAATACTAAATACTCTAAGTCTCTGGTTTATCCTATGTTTTAAGACAATCGCAATACAACAGTACAGTGACTTTATTTCGACCCGTACATAAACGAGCCTTTACATGTAACACATCAATTTTGATAGATATGTTGAATCTAGATAAATAAGGACTGAAAATAAGAGTAAGATATAAAAATTAATTAGAAAATAATGCACATATTGAAACTAAACATGCATAGTACGCTCGTGCATATTTGCAGCTTGCAAACATGTAAATGCATCATTAGACTGAGAAGGGAGCATAATTTATCGGTAATTAAATTTTATATTAACAAGTGCTTGAAGTATATGAATTTTATTTGAAGTAAAAAAAAAAGTCCACATGTAGTTACACATTTATACATTTATAATTATATACATGTACCTTGATTAAAAAAAAAAACAAAACATTTTGATAGTGTTGTTTCGTTTCGGCAGGTTTCGTTTTGATTTCGTTTCGTTTCGTCTTGATTTCGTTTCGTTTCGGTAGGTTTCGTTTGGTTTGTCAATAATAACGTTGCACCCACTGTATTTTCAAAATTTATTTAAATGCAGAAATTGTCCATTGTAGTTTTTTTCTCTTACACATACCGTATAACGGCTTTTTTTACCTGGTTACTTTTACAAGATGCATTACTTCTGATAATGATTTAATTAGTTCAGATCTAAAATTATACCCGGTTGTCAAAGTCGTTGACCCTTTCTTCTGTTTTGTTTGCATTCAATAAAAATGTGACTTTTTAACACACTATATTAGTGTCAAGTAATCATGATGAATTGAGTTGTCTCTCTTTATATTTCCCGTATAGATGTATGTGGTGCTCATCAATAATGATAGCAGATACTTAGCAAATTGTGTTTTAATTTTAGAAAAAAAAACCAGAAATCTAAGAAGGGCACATGATATACAAAGGTAATTCAATGAACAAACATATCATAATTTAAGGAATCAACATTCGATATCGCGAGAATAATTCATTTTGATTTTTACATCGGGTTTTTCAGATGCATTAGGTCTATTTGTATGTAAACGCATTCAAAACGCTAAAACATATTGATCTGGAATTTCACCTCCGATGATTTTAATTTTTACGGACATGCTCAATGCATAAAAAATTAACACGTAAAAATTTAAATCACCTTATTTCAGCCAAAATTCGTAAAAATTACCCTTTATATGGTATATCAACAAATACTCTGAAATCATTTTACAGACAATCAAAAAAATCTGCATTGATTTGAAATTTAGGGGGTAAACACAAAAATAAAAAAAATAAAACACAAAAATTAATCACCCGTGAAAATAAATCCTGAGAACCATTTATTTTGCTTTGAATTTGTAGAGAAACCAGAAGTCTCTTTTGAGACTGAAGCTCTACTGGTTTGTACTTATAGCAAAGGAAGAGAAAAGTACTTAAGCAGTTAGAAATTGAATCTTTTCAACAGCAATAAATAGAATAATGATCCTTGATTAAGTCTCTTTATGTTCTTAGTGTAGTCTACTTGCATGCCACATTATATTATAACCAGACTAAAACTGTTATTTGGAGTAGCATTTTGAGAGTATTTAACAGAAATTTCTATTTTTAGTATTCACGGCAACACCGTTCATCGAAATCAAAAACCGATTCACAGAATTATGTATCTTAGTGTAGTCTACTTGTGTGCCAAGTTATATTGAAATCAGACCAAAACTGTAGGTTATGGAGTAGCATTTTGAAAGAATTTCACAGAAATTTCTATTTTTAGTATTACGGGAACACCATTCATCGAAATTAAAAACTGATACATAGAATTATGTATCTTAGTGTAGTCTACTTGTTTGCCGAATTATATTGAAATCAGACCAAAACTGTAGGAGCATTTTGAAAGAATTTCATGGAAATTTCTTTTTTTAGTAACCACGGCAACACCTTTCATCGAAATCAAAAACCGATACACAGAATTATGTATCTTAGTGTAGTCTACTTGTGTGCCAAATTATATTGAAATCAGACCAAAACTGTAGAAGGAGTAGAATTTCTCTTTCACAGAAATTTTTTTTTAGTAACCACGGCAACACCGTTCTCGAAATCAAAAACCGATACACAGAATTATGTATCTTAGTGTAGTCTACTTGTGTGCCAAATTATATTGAAATCAGACCAAAACTGTATTGGAGTAGCATTTTGAAAGAATTTCTGAAATTTCTATTTTTGGTAACCACGGCATCACCGTTCATTGAAATCAAAAACCGAAATTATGTATCTTAGTGTAGTCAAATATTGAGTGCCAAGTTATATTGAAATCAGACAAAAACTGTAGGAGGAGTAGCATTTTGAAAAAATTTCACAGAAATTTCTATTTTTACAACCACGGCAACACCGTTCATCGAAATCAAAAACCGATACATAAATTATGTATCATTAACTAGTCTACTTGTGTGCCAAGTTATATTGAAATTAGACCAAAACTGTAGGAGGAGTAGCATTCTGAAAAATTGTTTAAGATTCAGACAGACGGACAAAATTTACAGACAGACAGACAGAAATGGACGACAGACGCATTACCATCGCATAAGCTCTTCTGGTCTCTGACCAGTAGAGCTAAAAAATTATGATACAGGAAAGCTCTAGGAAAATAATGTGACAGATGGAGGTAGATCAAAAGAGGTTGGAGGTGAAGTAATACTTATTATAGCTTTAAATTTAAAAATCCCACTACTTGGCCTTGAATTCAGATGCATTCTTTTCCACTTTGCATTCTTTGTTCTTGCAACGGCTTTTCTTTAAAATTTCCTAGTGTTTTTTTTTCCTGGGGAGAGACCAACTCTTCTGTTCACTTATTAAAAGTATGATGTTATAATGTAAAATGCTCAATAAATAATATGATCTTTCTATCAGTGTTATGCAGTTATGTAGGCAACAATATTCGTGCCAAAAGATTTATGTATATTAGGGCCTATCACCTATAGAAAAAGAGTTTGTACTAATTTATAGTCATGAATTTTCTGAGTCACCGAAAGAGACAGGAACATCACTGTACCTATCGGTTCTGGAACAGTTACATTATGTTGTCATCGTGTCCAGTCTCATCCGCAGTAGATCGATTAGCATCATAATAATGGTCTAAATTAATCCTACCTACTGCCCAGCGATTCGTGAGCGACTGAGAATTTCTCTTGTACTGAAATGTTTTCTTTGAGAAACCTTGTTTCTTCGATCTAGACAAGTGTGTAATGAAACACTGGTGATTTTAAATGACAGACAATATTGTTTACATTTTACCGCACTGATATACAGCATATGTGGTAAACAGTATAGTTCCAATAAATTATAAAAATTAGTATAAGAAGGACAAATATTAGTTGTATATGTAATATGCAACTCTTACATACAGTTTTAAAAAAAATACAAAATCATTCACTTACACAACTTGCAACCCATTGTTGTTAAAATATCGTGAGAAAACAAGTACATTAACTGATATCTTGCATTTTGTTTGGCAGTACACAAATGTTAGATATTCATTAATTATAATATTCTGGACTTTCTCAAAATTTACCTTTTTCTTTGGAAGAAATGGTTGCAGTTTTTGGACCAATTCTACTTTGTTTGAAGTTTTCATCTTGTTTGCAAGATCAATCCCTGCTTTTGTGCTAAATATCTTTTTCAGGACCTGTGATGTTGCTTGAACTGTCTTCATGCTTTAAAGGGAATTTGAAAAAATAAACCAGAAGTCTCTGTCGAGACTGAAGCTCTACTGGTTTGAACTTATAGCAAAGGAAGAGAAAGTACTTAAGCAGCTGGGATTTGAAACTTTATAAACAGCATTAAATAGAATAATGATCGTTGATAAAGTCTCTTTATGTTCTTAGTGTATTCTACTTGTTTGCCAACTTATACTGAAATCAGACCAAATCTGTAGGAGGAGTAGCATTTTTGAAAGAATTTCACAGAAATTTCTGTTTTTAGTAACCACGGCAACACCGTTCATCGAAATCAAAAAAAGATATACAGAATTATGTATCTACGTGTATTCTACTTGTGTGCCAAGTAATAGTGAAATCAGGTTAAAACTGTTTAGTAGCATTTTGAAAGAATTTCACAGAAATTTCTATTTTTAGTAACCACGGCAACACCGTTCATCGAAATCAAAAAAAGATATAGAGAATTATGTATCTACGTGTATTCTACTTGTGTGCCGAGTAATACTGAAATCAGGTTAAAACTGTAGGAGGAGTAGCATTTTGAAAGAATTTCACAGAAATTTCTATTTTTAGTAACCACGGCAACACCGTTCATGGAAATCAAAAATCGATACACAGAATTATGCATCTTAGTGTATTCTACTTGTGTGCAAAGTTATATTGAAATTAGACCAAAACTGTAGGAGGAGTAGCATTTTGCAGACAGACACAGACACACATGTGTGTATGCGGACGCCGGAGCATTACTATCGCATAAGTGATTTGTTAAACTGAAATGATTTGTTTGCAATTTATTTGAAATGAAACCTTTGTATATGCAATTTATTTAGAGTGATTTTTTGCGAGTAAGCATACTAGTGATTTCTTCATGTTCATTAAAGTGATTTCGTTATGATTTCAGGGTGATTTGCTTACAATTTGTTAAAAAATGATTTGTTAGTGATTTGAAAGTTGCCATATGACCTTGGGGCAAAAACAATATACCACATTCCACCAAGGCAAAAACAATATACCACATTAAAGTGATTTGTTTGAGGATTTTTTTCACATGGGCTTTTCTTCATGTGACCTTTAACCTACACATGTGACCATGTGTGAAGGTTACATCTACAACAAACTTTCTGGTGATAGGCAATCCTTCAGTTTCAAAGAGATTGCTATGTTTCTCCATTACAAAATATGGCCATAAAGAACAAAACTTTTTTTGCACGTCACCTTGACCTTTTACAAATGATTTAGGTTGAAAATTATGATATACCATCTCTTAAAAACCCTTGATCCCTCTAAGTCAAAATGCAGTCCCGCTATGCATATTCAATAGGAATTTACCTTCAATACTTCAAAGTGGTTATGTATACATAAGGTTATATAATTAACACCTTTACCTGGACATTTAAAAGGCCCCAGGCAGAAGACACCTAAATCAAGGAATGGGATTTTTTTTTCAGGTGACACTTATACTGCAAGATGATACTTGATTTATAATTAATAATATTTTGCTTATCTGCTATCAAAACAAGACATCTGTCAGCCAATGCTTACTAGTAATACCCCCGCTCTGATGTGAATAAACACTATCATTTTAATATACACAAGTTCAATTAAGGGCACAGAAAAATATGAATTTGACATCAGATTCAGATCAAGATTTAAATCCCACCATATGGCATGCCTCAACAAAGAGTGTACTAAAATTTCAAACATCTGCTATGAATAGTTGATGAGAAAGCTGTGACAAGAATTTGTTATGAATGAAACGGACAGACAAACCGACAAACAGGAAGTTGACATCAGATTTGAACAAAAATGTATCCCACCATATGGCATGCCTCAGAGATGATTGTGTTAAAATTTCAAGCATCTGCGATGAGTACTTGCTGAGAAAACTGCGACCAAAATTTGCTATGTATGAAATGGACAGATGCACTGACAAACAGGAAGTTGACATTGGATTTGAACAAAAATGTATCCCATGCCTCAGAGAAGATTGTGTTAAAATTTCAAGCATCTGCGATGAGTAGTTGCTGAGAAAACTGCGACCAAAATTTGCTATGTATGAAATGGACAGATGCACTGACAAACTTGTTACGGACAGCTAGACAGACGGACAGACACACAAGGGTAAAACAGTATACCCCCCTCTCCTTCGGAGCGGGTGTATAATAACTAACATTGATGATCTTCTGATAATTAAAAGACAAACAAAAGGTAAAAATTGATTACAAGACGAGACACTAATTTAATTTTTACTTTGAGTCAGTATTAAAGTTAGAGGAAAAATGAAAACTCAGAAATTATGCATTACAACAGCTTAAATGTCAATATGACGACTATTGCTGGACAAATACTTACAGATCATGTTTGGTATCAATATGTACAAATTGTCAATGCTATGTACGATGCTGTAATTAATGTTTTGATTTAAATGAATAAAGAATCCCAAGGGCCTTAACGGCCACCTGAGTATAAACAACAATCCATATAGGATCCATAGAGTATAAATTGAAAGCCTCAAAAACAAACCTGGGTTACAGATTTTTATCCCATCAAATGAAGTGTTACATTGACCAAAATTAAATTAAATTAAAATGCTCATCATGTTTTTGTTGTTTTTGAGATTTTCAAATGATCTTTCCTATAAATTCCTTAACTAAAACTTTAATCACCTGTTGCATCCCAGCCCCTTTCTACCCCAGGGGATCAAGATTTGAACAGTTTTGACATTAAACATTATCCAGAGCTGTTTCTATATAAATAAGACATGTGGAGATCTTTGAACATTCACTGTGGCCCCACTCTATCACTTAAGGCATGATTTGAATAACATGAATATATACTATCTAAGGATGCTTACATGTCTAATCAATCATGGTTTTTCTGTTTTTCGAGATAAGAATTTTTTTTTCAAGATTTTTCCTACATAATCCAATGTAAGACTTTCATTGTCCATTGTGGCCTCACCTTACCCCCTGAGGATCATAATTTAAACAAACTTTTAAAAATCAACACCACCTGAAGATGTTTCCACATAAGAATCATCCATCTTGCCCAGTGGTTCTGGAGAAGAAGATTTTTCCAATGTATTCCTATGTAAAATTTTAATCATTCATTGTGTCCCCGCCCTACCCCAGGGGGGCCATGATTTAAGCAAATGCTGATCTACACTACCTGATGATGTTCCCATATGTTTCAACTTTCTTGACCCAGCGGTTCTTGAAAAGAGGATTCTTAAAAGATACCATTAATTTTCATTAATTCTTAATTATCTCCCATTGGAAAAAGGTTTGGCCCTTCATTTGTTTAGAAAAAGGATTGGCCCTTCATTTGTACAAACTTGAATCTTCATTACCAAAGGATACTGTGTGACAAGTTGGTTGAAACTATAGCCCCTTGGTTCTTGAGAAGTAGTCAAAAATGTGAAAAGTTTATGCACAACACACATCCGCACGATGATGGACAAAAACAGATAGCAATAGGTCGTATCAGTGACTCACGTGACCTAAAAATGGCTTAACTCACTCTTTGTCAATAAGATGCTGGTCTAAAAGTTCCATAATCTGCAAAAGGTTATGCATGGCTCCAGTCTCTTCCACATCAGAAGTAGGTAGTGCTAGTATCATAAGATCAATAGGACCTATTACACCCAGACAGTGGGTCAACTCCCTCAAAGTCTCTGTATCCTTCAGTAATTTACTGTTTTTTACCAGTTTCATCAGAAGACCAGATAATATGTTCCTTGATTTGCCTGCAATTCATTGTTTGTTACTTACAATACGTTATTTGACCAGTTTGACCAGTTCTGAATAAGAAACCGATTCGGTCGTGTTATAAATATACAAGGAATTATATCAAAATCTAAGTTTTTAGTCAAGCTAGTTCAATGACGTGTGGAATTAAATATTGTTTCATAAAAGTTCAGCCTTCCCCCCAAAAAATTATTTTGCAAGTTAACATAGGTACTCATTTTACATTGTACCAGTTACGTATAAGCCGATGAGTTCCGAATACCCTAGCAGTTCCCATTCAATTCGATCCTAAATTAAACAAGAGGCCCAAGGGCCTTGAATCACTTTCGATAAATTGTACAATCTATCACTTCTATTTGAAGCCTCTAACTCTAAGTATCCTAAGACCCAAGTTTCACCAAATGTCAAAGTTTGATGATTCTTAGCCACTTGGGACAGAACATATTTTAATAAAGTTACTAAAAGACAATAAGTAGGTCACAGTGATCTACTTTAAGATGGAAGTTTTATGAGGACTCAAGATGCATTAATCGACAAAAATTGAAGATTCTAAGCCAATAAGTATTTGAGATATTTATAAATAGGTCATAATGACCTACTTTTTTTACATTCTCAGAAAACCCAAGATGCATCAACTGATAAAGTTTGCTGATTCTAAGCCAATAAGTACCCAAGATACTTAAATATAGCCATAAAATTTCAAAAGTAGGTCACCTAAATTTTAGTCGACGATTTTTGAAAACCCAAGATACATTAACTGACAAAGTTTGATGATACTAAGCCAATTAGTACCTGAGATATTCAACAGTAGGTTGCCATGACCTACTTTTTGGTCGACATTCTCTGAAAACCAAAGATGCCCCAACTGACAAAGTTTGACAATTCTAAGCCAAAAAGTACCTGAGATACTTAAATATAGCCATAAAATGTCAAGAGTAGGTCAAGGTGATGTAAATTTTTGGTTTGCGTCCCCGAAAACCTAAGATGCATCAACTGGCAAAGTTTGATGATTCCAAGCCAAAAAGTACCTGAGATACTTAAATATAGCTATAAAATGTCAAAAGTAGGTCACATTGACCTACTTTTTGTCTACATTCTTTGAAAACCCAAAATGCATCAACTGAAAAAGTTTAATTATTCTAGACCAATAAGTACTCAAGATACTTAAATATAGCCATAAAATGTCAAAAGTAGGTCAGGACGACCTACTTTTTAGTAGATGATTTTCGAAAACTCATGATACATCAGCTAACAAAGTTTGATGATTTCTAAGCCCATAAGTACCTGAGATAATCAAAAGTAGGTTGCCATGACCTACTTTTTGGTTGACGTTCTCCGAAAACCCAAGATGCATCAACTGACAAAGTTTGATGATTCTAGATCTATAAGTACCAGAGATACTTAAATAAAGCCATAATGTCAAAAATAGGTAACTATGACCTACTTTTTGGTTATTATTCTTTGAAAACCGAAGATGCACAAACTCACAAAGTTTGATGATTCTAAGCCAATAAATACCCTAAGATACTTAAATATAGCCATAAAATGTTGAAAGTACGTCATCGTGACCTACATTTTTGTCGACATTTTTCGAAGTCCAAAGATGCATCTACTGACAAAGATTGATGATCTTAGGTCTGAAGGTAATCAAAATATGCCTTTAAAACAATTTGAAAACAAATGCCTGCAAAATTCAAAAAGTAGGTCACTGTGACTTACTTTTTCATAAATATGTTTTAAGGCCCCAAGATGCACCAACTTACTAAATTTGATGATTCTAAACCTCTCAGTGTCTGAAATAATGGGATTAAATGTGTTTTAGAAAGGATTAGTCATAAAATTCAAAAAGTAGGTCACGGTGACGATCACGTGAGATCTCATCCCATAACAAACTCGGACTATGAGTAAGTCGGATTATTACCGAGTCGGTCTACACAAACTCTGACTATAACATAGTCGGCCTATAGCCAAAAATTTAAGATGTATAGCACAAGTTTAACGAATTAATTGATTAATATTTATATAAAGAATAATATGGGTGCTATTGATTAAGTATTGAATTTTTTTTTGTAAACCCTATTTTTACATGAAGTGATTTTTCAAGTTCTTCACTAGCGTGAATAGAGTATACTTTAGTACTCCAAAGTTTACAGTATGCAGGTAAAATTTATAAAATTATAGAATAAGGTAACACAATAAAACTTTTGCAGATATATTTATTTGTATTGATACATTATATTCTTTTTTGTAAACTTGTATTATTTTTTATGCAGTGGAGATTACGAGAATATTTATGTTAAATTGGAACGTTTTTTTTTTGGTACCGATTACTTAATTCACAAAAAATAAATCATTATGGTTTGGATAAATGAAATAATCGTGTTTTCAAAAAAAAAAAGTACACTAGTCAGTTAAGATGTGATGATTACCTACATAAACTTAATTCAGCATTTACAGTGCCTTAATTATTAATTTTACAAGCTGTGATATTTTTTCTTTCGTTCTTTAGTAAAAATATTATTTGTAATTTCCATGACATAGTGAACAAATTCTGACCTGACAAACTTCCTTTTTCTCACTTTTGTCATTTACCAACATGCATTGAAAAAAAACTGCAAGCTTGGTATATTAAAAAGTATGAAAGAAAGTGAAAGGAAAAGCAATGAGAACAAATGGTTAAAAGACAATTCTCTAAAAAAGTTGGGTTTTTTTCCTAGCATATACATATTGCTTTGAAAGATTTTTTTTTTTTCGGTTTATGCATGGAATTATAATTATGATTTTTTTCAGTTGTATCTACAAAAAAATCTTATTCCAGATATTTATGTTTAATTGTGTTGATGTGGATTTAAGATTTCTTTCCTAAAAATTATCATATTCTTTATGTTGACCGAGAATACACAAATAGATGAAGAGAAACATTTACAGATTGTAATAAACGGAAACCATTTATATTCATTAAAAAAAAATGGAAAATTCTAGTTTTATGGGTTATATACACATTCATTTGAGTTAATGTAATTAACAATTAATAAAACATCAATTAAAATAATTTTTTAGGTGTTTTTGAGTCTGATAGTGTCAATTAAAGGGACACTGCCCCATTGTTTGTATATCCTCTCTACCTCCCCTAGATATGGCTTCCGTATGTCACCTTTGTGTAATCCAAGTAAACCGACCATGGTATGCACATAAATCGATAAGCAAAAAACGAAATATTTCATATTTTTTCATTTATCGCATTATCTGTAAATAATATTAAAAAAGCATTAATACATGTATAAGGTTTTATGCAATACATAATATCGCGAGTACCTCACAGTTATCTAACTTACTACCGCTCTTTTGCGGGGGAGTCGAGAAAGCTCAAATCTCGCAAGATTACTGGGACATTGTTTACAGTAGTGACAAGCGAATGATTTGTACAATTTTATTCCGAAAGTACAATGTATTGCCAAGAATTGAACTCCAAATAGTAGATTGTCAAATAAGGAAAGATTAGATTATTTTTATCATCTTTAAAATGTGACGATTTTCAATGAAAATTAAATGAGATGAGCCTGCTTAGTGAAAAACATTGTTAAAAATGTAACATTTTACGAAAAGCTCCACCCAAATATTAATTAGGCTGGTTCAGCAATTGATTAGCAAGGTATTCCACCAGGATTTTTAAGTTATCTGTCCTTATAAATTCTACAATGATCGATCTTGCATTGTATACAATAGCACATTTGTCCCCAGCCAACAGACATTTCCTAACTCCTTTGTGGAAGAGTTCTGCTAAGTTAAGTAATCGATATCAAGTATTAAACCAAGGCTAAATAAACATTTCATAATTCATAATAAAATTACTCAGTATAAATTAGAAAATAAAAAATGAATAAAAATACATATTTGTTCTATTCATAATACTTTAAAATACTAAATAATACTTTTCATAATACTTTAAAACCAACTTAATTATTTTAAAAAATAAAATAAACATAATTCTTTTAATTTACTTTGTAAAGTATTATAACTAAGTACTATTATAAATGCATAGGCCGAGTCTGCTATAGGCCGACTCCGTAATAGTCCGACTTTGTAATAGTCCGACATCTCTAGTACCCACGGTGACCTACTTTTAAGTTGATGTTGTTCAAGGACCCAAGATGCATCAACTTACAAAGTTTGATGATCATAGGCCTTAAAGTGTCCAAAATATGCCTTCAAATCAATTTGAAAACAAATGCTCGCAAAATTTTAAAAGTAGGTCACCGTGACCTACTTTTGAGTTAACATGATGTGAAGTCCTAAGATGCATCAACTTACAAGATTTGATGGTCCAAGTCCTTATAGTAAATAAAATATAAACATTTTTATTAAGTGTAAATTTAGGTCAACTTTGAAGTGACCTTGAGACTATACCTTTTGCCCCAGGGTAATTCCCTGTGCAAATTTTAATCTTCGACATATCCTGATCCTTGTATGCAACTTTGGTGAAAATCTGCCTGATGGTTCTGGAGAAGATTTTTTAGCAACCAGTACTTTTGGTTTTGTTTTCCTGATTATCTCCCCTTGTTTAAGGGTACCAACCCTTATTTTAGTATAAATGGTAGCCCTTGGGCCAAAGATACCCTGTGACAAATTTGAAACTGATTGGCCAAGGGGTTCTTGAGTTATAGCCCATATTCTAAAAAGTTAACACACACCGCATGAATGACCATAGCATTAACTCTTTGAGCCTTTGGCTCAGAAGAGCTAAAAATATATGTCTCACACATTATCCACTGGCTTGCCTAAGAAAAGTTAAAATAATTGCTTACCAATAAGCCATTTGTATTTCCAAATGATAAAGAGAAACAAGAGGTACTGTGAGCACTGAGCTCTATAAATGATATCCCATGTCTCTTATATGATTATAATGGCAAAGTCCATGTCTTGCTTTGGGAGACACTAAATAAGTGTCAGATCAAAAAGTAAAATAAGAGGTGCACAATGGCAATATGTAATAAAGAACCAGTAAAAGTATCATTAAATTTTATTCAGTGGTATAGAAGGAATATATGAGATTGGTATACCCTTCAATATTAGAAAGAATGGCAGTATCGTGTTTTGCTAGGGGAGTCTAATTTATGTGTCAGATCAAAAATTAAATAGAAGGTGCACTTTGGCACTATTAAACAAGATTTGGTGAAAGCCCCATTAAATTCTGTGAAGCCTCATTAAATTTGACTTAGTGCTGTGGTAGAAGAAGAGTTGTGGATAAAACATTGGTACCCTAAAGCGTAACAGACAGATGGACGTACAGCTAGAAGGATGGACGTACAGACTGATGGATGGACAACCACCCCATCACTATATAACCCTCCCCCTGCTTTTTAAGTGGGGGTATAATAAGCCACTTTTACAATGAAGAAATAAACGAAGAATGGATATATAATAGTGTTTATAATGGGTATTCAGAACTAGTAAAATGACAACATGAAAATATTCCGATATCTTCCAGTGTTCTAAATAATTATTTTAGACAAGTTTCTAGTATTTGTTAGAGGACATATCAAACTTACTTTTGATACCTGAAATGTTGTTTTATATGAAAAATTGATGTCTCTACAGAGGTTTTTCTGCAGACTCCACGTCGCGCTGATTCTGATTTGTTGCATTGTAAAAGTATGTAAACTGTTTCAAGTATGATAGCGAAACTGAACTAGTGGCAAAAAATTAAAACTCACATAATTCAAACACTCATTAATAAGCCCTCTTACCATAGGTATTGATTTATTTCTACACCTTTTACCGGTAATTGATTAAATTGATAATTATTTGGAAGTGGTCAAAATTCAGAACTGGCCAAACAACTGTAACTGTATGCACAAAAGTAGTTTTAAACAGGTCATATGAATGGCAAAGATGGCTTTAAAAACTGTATTTCGAGTCTTAAATTTAGTTCTAATATGCACTTTAATGTTTATTTCATTACTTTTATTAGTGCCAATAGAAAAAAAATACCTCGTTCAGACTCTATTAACTCTACAAATTCTTCCATATTTGATTCTATCTCCTTTGACAAAAAATGAAGGCCTTCTCCAGAGTGCCCTCCTGAAAGCATTTCCATATCCTCCAAAATGTAATCCTTCATTAACTGAAAAGAAAGCAAAATAAAGTCCTATTGCTGTCATAAGACACTGATTATACCAACACAAGTCATGTAACCATCCATCTTCATTTTTGGTTAAAGCTGAACATGATTTGTAAAAGAAATTTATCCACCATATTTGATTGGTCTCTTGCTATATCTGAGGCCCCTAATAAAGCCAATCACTTAGTCACTGTTCTGTGTAATCAATTGTCACTGGTGTAGACGGACGTATGCTAGGAAGCACGCCGTATGGACAAAAAATGACTACTTCTTCTAACGCAGGAGAGTAAGATACCAAACAAGAGGCCCATGGACCACATTCCTCACCTGAGCACATCAGCTAAGAATAAAGTTTCCCACCACAGCATGATATGCCCTTCAAATATTGTTCAATTATCATAAACAGTTTACAGTGCAAGAAAATCATGTCAACCTTTAAAAGGATTTCCATTTTTCCATTCCTTATATTATTTGTTTAAACATCTCCTGTGGTGTATGCATTGATTATAACAAATAATCATCAAATGGTTAAAGTATAGCTTGACATGCAATGTTCTATTATCAAAATTCTCCTTGACCAGTGCTTGATAATTATACCAATGGGTGTAAAGTATAATGAAAAAAAATAGTATTTTCTTAATTTAACATTTCTTAATAAGGATACTGCAACACTCTCACATTTTTTGGGATTGTGTAATTCAATAGTAAAAGACAGTTTTTTTAAAATTTCACTTAAAGGTCACAGTGACCTTGATATAGGTCTCGACACACCTTCTACCAAAGATGCATAAATTTGCCAAGTTTGATAATTGTAAGTCTAATAGTTTGTTAGTTATGAGGTGGACAGGATTTTTCCATATTTGACCATAACTTCTTAATTAAAGGTCAGAGCGACCTACTTTTTGTGCACGACACACCTTTTACACGAGGTATCAGCTGACAAAGTTTGATAATCCTAGGCCTAATAGTATTAAAGTTAAGAGCTGGACACTAGAAAAGCTAACAGACGGATGGACATGAACGCCATAACATAATACATCCCGTCTAATAATAAAGTGCCACGCCACAGCATGATATGCCCGTCAAAAAATTACACAATTATCTTAAACAGTTGAGTGCAAGAAAATAATATGTCAATAATATCAACCTTGATTCTAAGATTTCCATGATTTTTCCATTCCTTCACATATTTGTTTATCTATCCCCTGTGGTGTAGGCATTAATTATAACAAATATTACATCATTGATAGATTTCTATACTGGTTGTGTTAGACCTTGTCAAATGCTCATCATATTAAACAATAATTAGTCTTAACAACTTCATCTATACCAAATTAATTTTGAAAACTAGAAATATGTCCATAGGACATGAATGCCCCGCCGAGGGTATATTAGTAAAGCAACATGAAAATTTGATCAGAATATCTTGAAAAGTGATGCAGTGGAATTGCTTATATCAGTATGTATCAGCATATGAAGTTTGACACTAAAGTGAGGTCAAGGTCAAATAAAAGGTCAAGGTAAAAAATATTGATGCAGTTGAATTGCTTACATCAGTATGTATCACCATATGAAGTTTGACACTAATTTAGGAAAAGCGACATCAAGGTCAAAGGATAGGCCAAGGTAAAAAAATGCTGATGATGTTGAAAAGCTCTCATCATTATGTATCAGTATATAAAGTTGAAAAAAAAATTATGAATTGTTTCTTTAAAACTCATATAAACACAATTTGATAAAAGTGAGGTCAAGGTCACATGAAAGGCCAAGGTCAAAAATGTTGATGCAGTTGAATAGCTTTCATCACTACATGAAATTTGATAAAATATCATGGATGGTTTCTTTAAAATGATCTAAACACTAATATAATAATCTAGTATGTATCAGTATATGAAGTTTGTTAAAAAATTCTTGGATGGTTTCTTTAAAACTGAGCTTTAAACAACAATTAAAGAAAAGTGTGGTCAAAGTCAAAGGAAAGGTCAAGGTAAAATATATTGATGCAGTGGAATAGCTCTCATCAGTATGTATCAGCTTATGAAGTTTGATAACAGTATCTTGAATGGTATCTTTAAAACTGAGCTAAACACTCATTTAAAAAAGTGATGTCAAGGTCAAAGGAAAGTCAAGATCAAAAACGGTTGATGCAGTTGCATTAGTTCTAATCAATATCTATCAACCTATGAAGTTTGATGAAAATATCTAGGATAATTTTTTTGAAACTGAGCTTTGAACTGAGGTAAACGCAAAGTGTGACGAAAGGACAGGACAGAAGGACAGGACGGAAGGACAGAAGACGGACATGACAAACACTATATGCCCCGACCATATTCATGGCGGGCATAATAAAAGGCTGGCCATCAAATGACATATGCTATAAATGACCAAGAGTTCTTCTGTCTAATTCCCAAAGGATACAGATAAGACTGCTTGATCAGAGATGCTCTGAAGAAATGTCTGAGACAGCTAGCCTTCCTACATTGAACTCATTAATTTAAATCTTTGACTGGATGCTTGTCTACTCATAACTCTCAAGAAATGAATTGATCTACACTATCTACCATAAAACATTTTTAAAACATATAAAATACTCAATGATTTTTTTTTAGATTTACTGTCAGACAGGTTTTAATATGTAATTCATATGGACTAATGGACATGCTGATTCCACCCCCAAACCAATAAATTTAGTTTTTAAATTAGTAATATTATATAATATCAGATTAGTTTATTATCAAATTAGTTTTAATTACTTTTCATCAAATTCATTTTAAAACTTAGGCTAGCTATTTAAATCAATCCAACAGGCTGACCCATTTGCCAATTTCCAAGGGATATAGGTAACACCTGCTTGATCAGAGATACTCTATCAGTTAGCTCCTCACATTAAACTCATTAATTTCTTTCTAATTTGACATGCAATTTTTAATAAGGAAAGTGCAATACTTTTACATTTTTTGGGATGTTTTAATGAATAGTATAGGCCATAATAAATAAATTGCTAGATTCTCATCTGAATTTTTTTAAAAATCGAGGCGGGCGGGCGGCTTTTATTTTATATTTCTTATTTTTTCAATTTTGCAGATTTTTTATTGACCTGGTCAATCGGTGTAATTATCTACAATACCCAAATAAAAGTCATAGTAAAGGTTCAGTTATCTCTTACTTCACATCATCTCCAATATTTTTCAACCAATGACCCTTGTTTAAAATATATACGCATGTATTACAGCAATTACCATCTTTTCAGCTGTCAAAATCATGTCAACATTCGCGGGATTTAAAACGAAAGTAGAATGGTAGATGAATACCAATCCCGATCAGAATTAAAACGAAGAAAAACAGAAATTAAAAAAATCGAGGCGGGGGTATAAAATCAGGGCGGGCGGGGATGAGAATCTAGGAAGATTTTTATTATGGCTTTAAAGACACTTTTTAAAAAAAATTTCACTCAAAGGTCACAGTGACCTTGAAATAGGTCATGACAGACCTTCTTCCTAAGATGCATAAACTGGCCAAGTTTGATGATTCTTCTAAGTCTCATAGTTTTCTTGTTATGGGCTGGAAAGGATTTTTCCATATTTGGCTATAACTTATTAATTAAAGGTCAGAGCGACCTACTTTTTGTACACGACACATGTTCTACCCAAGATGTATCAGCTGACAAAGTTTGATAACTCTATACCTCATAGTTATTAAAGTCATGTGCTGGACACTAGGAAAGCGAACAGACGGCCAGACAGACAGACAGACATGATGCCTGTAACATAATACGTCCCGTCTTAAGAAGGGCGTATAAAAACAATCATATAAAAAGCACAATTCAGTTCAGCATTGAAAAGTTTACGGTTGTGGGTGTGACTAATAATCAATTTATGTATAAAAATCATAATTTTGCTGTTCTTGAAAAAAAAAGATTTTTAAAGATTTCTTTTCTAAAGATTGTCTTCCTACATATTACTTTGTAAAAAGTTGATCCCCCTTGTGACTCCTCCTTATCCTAGGAGGTCATGATTTGAATAAATTTAAATCTTCAATACATGAGGATGCTTACATGTCAATATAACTAAACAAAACTTTTCTGTCCTGGAGAGTGGGTTTGAATCCCACTGTGGGATGTAGAGACCAGTCCTTCAGATGAGACCCTATAAACCGAGGTCCCCCGTGTCCAGTAGGTGCTAGCATGAAAAGGATCCCTCCCTGCTCATTGGCCTTGAAGGCTGAGTACAGGAAAAAATTTGCAGCTCTCCACCAGCAAGTGGTGGTGTCTCCATATGAGTGAAAAATTCTCAAGAAGGATGTTAAACAACAATATACAATCAATCAATCAACTGTCCTTGAGAAAAAGATTTTTTCCTCTATTTTCCTATGTAAAACTTGGTGATCCACCATTGTGGCCCCACCCTAACCGTGGGGGTTATGATTTGAACAAATTTGAATCTACATGACCTTAGGATGCTTCCAGATAAATATCACTAATAATGGCTTTGCTATTCTTTAAAAAGTTATTTTGAGAGATTTTTTCTATATATTTCTATGTAAAACTTTGATCCCCCTTAATGGCCCCACCCTACCTCAAGAGTCATGTTTGAATAAACTTTAATCTACACTACCCAAGGATGCTTCCATATAAATATAACTAATTATGGCTTTGCTATTCTTGAAAACAAGATTTTAAAAAAAAATCTATATATTTCTGTGTAAAATTTTGATCCCACATTGTGGCCCTACCCTACCCCCAGGGGATATGATATGAATAATCTTGAATCTACCCCAACTAAGGATGCTTCCATATAAATAAGACCATTCATTGCTTTGCAATTCTTGAGAAAAAAAATTGCTATATATCTACCTATGCAAAACTTTGATTGTCCATTGTGGCCCCATCCTACTCTATGTTGATGTAAAAAATTGACCTTGACCTTATAATAATTATATCAAGGTAAAAGATTTTGATCCCATGCACCCCTTGTACCTGCAAACTCTGCATGTTCCAAGTTTGA